TACCATAGTTTTTTGATCCAATCATCTGCTGACAGGCACCTAAGCTGTTTCCAAATTCTGGCTATTGTAGATTGTGCTGCTGTGAACATAGGGGTGCATATATCCTTTCTGATTGGTGTTTCTCGTTTCTTGGGATATATTCCTAGGAGTGGGATTACTGGGTCAAATGGGAGTTCCATTTTCAGTTTTTTGAGGAAACTCCACACTGTTCTCCACAATGGTTGCACCAGTCTGCATTCCCACCAGCAGTGCACGAGGGTTCCTTTTTCTCCGCAACCTCGCCAACACTTGTCGTTTGTTGATTTGTTGATGTTGGCGTTCTGACAGGTGTGAGATGGTACCGCATTGCTGTTTTGATTTGCATCTCTCCCTCATGCTTTTTAATTGTTCTTTTTCCTTTTGTTGCTATTTTTGAGTAATTTTTCTACCTTGTCTTCTTATTTGGAGATTTGAATTTCTGCTTCTTCTAACCTATTGATTTCTTGTAGTATATTCTTTATGTCAACTGTCATTCTTCATTTCTGACTGTTCTTTTTTTGTTTGTTTGTTTTTTTCCCATGGGTTCTATGTTCTTTTCATGCTGTTTCCTCGTTGAACATTCTTGAAACCATTATGTTATATTTTGTTTCTGAAAAATTGCTTGCTTCCATTTCATTTAGATCTTTTTCTGGAGATTCCTGTTTTGTCCCATATGGGGTCTGTTTCTTTGTTTTCCCATTGTTGCTGTTTCTTTGTGTGTGTTTTTTCTATGTATTTGATACGACTTCTATGTCTCCTTGTCTTGGTGAAATGGCCTCCTTGATCTTCTGACTTGGGTGCAATAGGAACGTCCCCTGTGTGGGTTTTGTGGGCCTTCCTATTGTATTTGGGTCTTGAATGCTGTCATCCCTTTCATAGGTGAGCTTAGCCCTCAGGCTTGCTGCCTGCTTGGGTCAACCCCAACCACGTTATGCCAACTGTTACACAGATCAAAACAAGACTGAGAGAACAAAACAAGACAAAGCAACCCAAACCAAGAACAAAATGAAAAGTAAAACAAAACAACAACATTAAAGACTAAAAAAGGAAAAACAAAAAGAATACTAAAAGCCACAAAGACCAAAAGTATTATAGAATGAGAAAAAAGAACCAAAAAGTAAATGAGAGAGAATATCAGAGAAGAAAAAAGAAATAGAATAAATATAAAAAAGAAAAGTATAAAGGACGTAATATTAATAATTTTTAGAATAATAATAATAATAAATGAAAATGAATAGATAAAGTAAAACAAGAATAGAAAGTAATAAAATAAGAAAAATTAAAGATAAAGAGAAAAGAAGGAATAGAATAAAAGGAAAGAGACATTATAGATATTAAATAAAAATGAAAAGAAAACATTTGGGTCTGCTATTTGTGAAGCTCACTACATTTTGTTCTGTTGTTGAATCTGGCCTGGTATGTGTTGGTTCCAGACTTCTGAGGTGGTTCTTTGTTGCAAGCCAATGTTAGTCACTGTCCCTGCCTGGCACTGAGCAACCTGACAGAAGCATGACAAGGTTGATCCCCAAGTAGTTGAGTGGGCAGAGCCTCTATAGCCCAGTGGCTACATCAGCCTCAGTTCTCATGTCCCTGTTCTTAGTTGCTCTCCCTTCCTGCTGGGACTGAGCAGTAGACCCTGAGTGATGGATGAAAAATTACTCTGACACATGTTTTTGTGAACAAGAGGGCTAAGGGACTGCCTGGCTATGAGAACCAGACAGCCCCATTTGCCTGCCTCCTTATGCTTTTATTATAACAACAGCTTGAACTAAAATTAACTTCTAAATACTATCGGCAGGGTAAGTATCCTTGAGAAGACATGTATTTGCAGTGTCCTTTAAGTAAGGATATCTAAAGGCTAAACAAAGATTCCAGTAAAACACCGAGGGTCTCAGACTTATTTGGAAAAGTCAAGACAGGGACAGCTGCCTTTTGCCAGCTCCCCTGGAGGACTCTGTCCTTTCAGAGATTTCTCCTTACAAACTTTCCAATCAAATCCCATACTTTCTCACACCTTCCCCTATAGAACTGGGCACTGTGGGGTAGACAGGATGGTTTAAACAAACTTATGTTGGGGGTGGCCTGTAGTTTGTAGGAGGGATGGCTGGCACTTCCTCTCCTTTAAATACCTCAGCTCTTGGTGGCTCACTTGCACTCCCTTGCTGCCACCTCAAGCAGGAGGGGATTAAAAAATAAATAAAAATAAATCAGCCCTGCTTTGCACTCTAATCTTTCTGTGCAGCTGGCCACCACTGGGCCAGGTCTCCACCCAGGCTTTGGCCAGGCCAAATGTCTAAGTCCCCTACATTGCCAGACCCAGCTGCACCAATGCAAATTTCCAGCCCAGGGCCCTTTCTTCTTGCCTCAGGTTGCTGCAGTGTGGGACTGAAATAGCTCCAGAAGTGGAGAAAGGGGTGCTTTCCCTGTGCTCAAAGTAGGACTGATCCTCTTTCTCCAGGGCACACTGCCCAGCCCGTCTTGCTCTCCACCAGAAGTTCTTCCAGGGAATAAAGGGTCCCTCAGATTCACTGTAGGTGTACCAGTCAGACCCCTCCACTGTCTGAGTTCCACCACATCGCCCCTCCACAGACACAGATTGGGGCAAACTTCTGAGGTGGGATGATGGTGGGGTATCCATTTCCAGTCCCTCCGGTGAGTCTCAGCTTTGGGCACCCCCAGCTGCACTTCTGCTGTAGCCTCTGCAGCCAATGCCACCCAGCCACCTCCCCCCACAACCCTAGTGCTCCTGGCTGGCTTCACAGTCGAGCCTTTGTCCAGCTCCCGATTCCAGTGGCACCCAGGGCTCTCATGGCAAACACCCAGCCCCTAGACTCTAATTCCTGACAGCTCTCTGCATGGCTTAGTCTGGTGTGGAGGTCTTTGGTGGTAAAAGCAGTACCACACACCTAGTCATGGCCACCCTCAGTGGAAGGATTTTGTAGATCACAATATGGTGCAGGCTCCAAAACCTTCCTGCATTATCTTTTAACAAGTTGCTTAATCACACCAAGCCTCAGATTGCATATCTATAAAATGGGCTATCCCAGAGGGTTATGTGAGGACAAATGAAATAGTGGGCATAAAGAGATTGGACAGGTAGTGTTTTATGTTTAAGATTAAAATAGATGATTTGCCGAAACCGGTTTGGCTCAGTGGTAGAGCGTCGGTCTGCGGACTGAAAGGTCCCAGGTTTGATTCTGATCAGGGGCATGTACGTTGGTTGTGGGCACATCGCCAGTGGGGGTGGTGAGAGGCAACTGGTCGATATTTCTCATCGATGTTTCTAGCTCTCTCTCTCTCCCTTCCTCTCTGTAAAAAATCAATAAAATCTATTTTTTTAAAAAAAGATTAAAATAGATGAAAGTGGGGTTTATTTTTGTTTTGTTGCATTTTAACTGTGATTAATAGTATATGACTTTTGCTTTAATATATAAAAGAGATCCTTAACAGAGTTTACTGGTATAAAGAACACTATGGGACAGTTTGGTTTTACCTTGCAATCTGTCGTTACGTGATCTCTGGCATATAGTTAAATGAGATGGTGAATTCTCAGCTGTTTCCCAACCAATGTTGACCTAAATAATTTTGGGGACATTACTTATAAACACAGAAATAGGTATGTATTTGTTTTGATTCTAGTTCTTATAAAAACAAATTAAATTAAAAAAAATACAAATCTATTTTCTTATATACTCTAAATTTAAAATGATAGCTAGTTTTAGGGTTTTTTTTTAAAACTAAATTACTGCTTACAGCATGAAATGCTACAGGTTTAAGGCCTTCTGAGTGTGAAGTTTATATACTTATATATTGTATTTTCAAGTTCTACCATATTGCTTTTGTAAAACTGTACCACTCTTTGTCATTTAGTATAGAAATGTATTATATATACACAGTTTTTCTATGGTCCCTTTCCCACCCATGATTAGCATAAATGTAACTTCATTAACATTAGCTTCCTTGTCAAAATAGTCTTTATTATGCATAGATTTTAAAATTTAAGTCTTAATCATGCAAAAAATTAATTTATTATTACTACAAAAGGAACAGACTTTGATGTGAGTAGAGCTGCAGATAGTTGTCATTATGACATTAGCTATTTAAGCCATTTGGTACCAAATAAATCATCAGAGGTAAACATTCACTAAATTGATTCAGGGAAGAAACCTAAATCATCCCCAATATTGTGTATATTAATTATTTATAGATTTTATCAAATTAAAAACAGAAATTCTAGAATTCTTGGGCATAAGTGCTTAAATGGGTTTGGGAACTGTAGTTGAGATAATCGTGATGGATCCAGTGTAGTGAACATGTTAAACACACACATGCCATGCACTGTGCTAGGTGCTCAGGCTCTAAAGATGACATATACATGACCTCTGTCCCTAAAGGAGCTCCTAGGACAAGCCAGGCAAAGTTAGAGGTGGAAGTACTTTAGAGGAGTCAGTATGAGAAAATGCTTAGAGTAAAAAAATCTATATAGATTGATAATCTGAAATATTTAGTTCAACTCACAAAGTCTTGACAAAGAAGACTCTGGAGATTGGCATAAATCCTGGAAGGCCTTGAATGCCTCTAAAAAGAAAGTGATGTCCTAAAAACTCTTAAGACTTGTATTATTAGTTTAGATCAGTGGCATGAAAGAATTAAAGGAAAAGTTAGCACACTGGCATTAATCACAATTAAAATAAATTCTTTAAATTTTGAATAATTGGGAAAATATGAAAAGAAAGTTTATTTGCTAACTGTTCAAGGCTTTGTTACTATGAGTTCTAAGCAAAGTCTAGACAACTGGATCTAACAGGGTCTTCATAGTGAAAATAATGGTAATGGAATCTAGTGATTGGAATAGCCTATTATCCCTGTCATTGATTTACTTTGATATTTGTTAAATATTACAAAAAGTTTTATGTTTTTATTTTGATTTAAAATTTGACATTTCACCATGATGATAAATTTTTGCCTTTTTCCCCCAATAGCATTTTCTGCCCCAGCAAATCAACTCTTTTCTCCTCACGGTTCTAATCCTGCAACACCTGCAGCAACTCCTGTTCCTACTGCATCCCCTGTTAAGGCAGCAAATCATTCATCGGTATCAGCAGCTGCCACAGTTTCTGGGTTGAACATGCTTCCTGTGTTCCCAGGGCAGGTCTCCTCAGCTGTTCATACATCTCAGCCATCAATGCCAAATCCAACAGTTATCAGAACCCCTTCATTGCCAACTGCACCTGTCACTTCTGTCCATAGCACAATGTCTATTCCTGTTCCTTCAGTTTTTCCTGGCCTAGTTCCACTGCCAGGTTCTTCTGCCACTCCTACCCCACTCCCTCAGGCCACATCTATACCTCGGGCCACTCCTGCTTCCAATGAGACATTTGCTTCTACTTCTGCTTCTTTTGTTAGCCTTCCGTTTTCTGCCACCTCTACTATTGGTTCTACCAACAGCCCAAATCCTGCTTCGTTGTCATCAGTTTTTGAAGGTCTCCCTTTGCCCTTAACACCAACATCCCAAGGCATGTCCAACCCAAATCCTTCTGTAATTGCTGGTGGTTCTGCTCCCAATGTTGCTCGTCCACTTGGTCTAAATAATCCTCTTCTATCTGCTTTAAAAGGCTTTCTGACATCAAAGGATACCAGTTTAATAAACTCTTCTGCTTTATCCACTGCTATTACAAGTGGGCTGTCTTCACTCTCCTCTCTTACTAATCACAACTCAGATTCTCCTGTCTTAGCCTCTAATAAGTGTTATGCCCCATCAGCCATTCCCACCCCACAGGAGTCTTCTACTCCAGGATTGGCCATGTTCCCAGGCCTTTCCTCTCCTGTGGCCATCACAACTTCCTCTCCCCCTACTTTGCCTGTCCAATCTCCTCTAGCTACTCCAAAATCAGCTTTAACTTCAGGGTCAGTTAGCTCTGGTTCCTCAGCTACCCTTTTGCATGGCCCCCATCCAGGTAACTCAGACTTGCATATTACAGCCAGCACTGCTGTAGCAACTATTTCTGCTACAATAAAAGCTGAACCCATAAGTCCTACTCCCTCAGCCTTTAAAGGTCCATCTCATTCTGTAAATCCCTCTCATAGCACTTTAGGTTTGTCAGGGACACTAGGTCATGCATATACTTCAACATCAGTGCCCATCAGTTTATCTACTTGCCTTAATCCTGCATTATCAGGTCTTTCCAGTTTGAGTACTCCCTTGAATGTTTCAAATCCCCTTTCCTCTATTTCCCTTCCACCACATGGTTCCTCCACTCCAATCACTCCAGTATTCACTGCTCTTCCTCCCTTTACTTCTTTGACCAGTAATTTTCCTTTGACAGGTAATCCATCTCTTAATCCATCAGTATCTCTTCCAGGGACATTAATAGTCACCTCATCTGCAACTGTCACATCCATATCTATCCCTCATCCTAGTTCTACATCAGCTATTCTCTCAGGGCTTTCTGTCTCAGCACCAGTCTCAGCAACACCTTTCCCCCTTAACTTGTCAACTGCTGTCCCTTCACTTTTTTCAGTTACTCAAGGACCTTTGCCATCTTCAAATCCATCCTACCCTGGCTTTTCTGTCTCTAACACCCCCAGTGTTACCCCTGCTCTCCCTTCATTCCCGGGGCTGCAGGCACCCCCAACGGTTTCAGCAGTCACACCACTGCCTGTCACTGCTACAGCCCCGTCACCAGCTCCTGTCCTCCCAGGATTCGCTTCAGCTTTTAGTTCCAATTTCAACTCTGCTCTTGTTGCACAAGCGAGGTATGTGGATAGTTTGGAAATAGAATAAAATCATTCTTTAACTAACTTGTATTTCATTGTCTTACTTTTAAGTTATTCAAATTAAAATCAAAATAATTGTATGGTGGTGCTAAATTAAATTATGTTTTTCTGGCCCTAGCCAGAAACTTTAGTGCTTAAAAAATGTTTTATGATTCTTCAATCATGTTAAGGTAAATATATAAAACATGAATGCCTACTCAGATAATTTTAAGATTTGAATTTGGTAATTTATCCTGATTATAAAATCACAAAAAATAATATCTATGCAAAACATAGCCTTAATTGAGTTCAGAATAATATACTATATAACAGAAAGTACATTTATATTAGTGAGTGGCTGACTTTTATAGTTTCTTTCTAACAGAGAAATTCTAAGATTTTTTTTTTTTTTTTACATGTTAAGATAGTATTTGACAAATATAGAAGCAGTAGCTTTTATGTCTTATATTTTTCTGTTTTTCTACCATTTTAGCTTATCATCTGGACTTCAAACTGCAGGCAGTTCTGTTTTTCCAGGCCTTTTGTCCCTCCCAGGTATCCCTGGATTTTCCCAGAACCCTTCACAGTCATCCTTGCAAGAATTGCAGCATAATGCAGCTGCACAGTCAGCATTGTTACAGCAGGTAAACAGACAATGTCTGGCATAAATAAAATGTCATATAACTTCTATAGTGATAATCTTACAATACCAATAGTGACATCCCAGCATTTGCAAAAAAAATGATTCTTAGCAGAACATCAAGAGATATGATAGCCAATTCTTCCAAAATATGCAAATTATGCTTGTCTTCCTTCAGAAAGGTAACAAAGGTGATAGAATATATTCATCTGTATGAATTGTTTTTCCTGCTCATATATTTTTAAATCTGAGTTTTGAGATTTTTACAAATGGAATATTTATACATGACTGATAATTTTTTTTTTCCAATTATATTTTTATTTATTTCAGAGAGGAAGGGAGAGGGAGAGAGAGAAACATCAATGATGAGAGAGAATCATTGATTGGGTGCCTCCTACACATCCCCCACTAGGGATTGAGCCTGAAAACCGGGCAAGTGCCCTTGACCGGAATCGAACATGGAGCTTTTCAGTTCACAGGCTGACGCTCTATCCACTGAGCCAAACTGGCTAGGGCCATGACTGTTAAATTTTAGCTTGTTTTTCTACAATTTAAGCACATTTTCTCTAGAAAGCCCTTTTTTTTTTTTTTTTTAAATCATTTAATGGCATTTCTGTGCACCTCCACCATCAGAAGTTGAACATTTCTTAAAAATTTTAGGAGACTGAGCAGATTGATCTCGTCCAACGTTTTTTTCTTTTCTACCTCAAATATCTGTACTGTTGCATAGGCAAAAGCAAGTGCAGACTTGGTGGAATTGGACTTTCTGCTAAACTGCTTGTTCTTTTTTCTTTCAGGTCCATTCAGCTTCAGCTCTGGAAAGCTATCCAGCTCAGCCGGAAGGGTTTCCTAGTTTTTCTTCAACGTCAGGAACACCATTCTCTTTGCAACCAGGCCTGTCCCAAAGTGGTTGGCAGTGAATAAAATTGCATTTACCTTTGAATACCATCAGAATTGCCTAAGGACTTCAATGAACAAGCTGACAAATGTGAACTTGTCCAAAAATCAGATAATAAGAATGAGGATAATCCTGGGGAAATTGGGATGTTTTAAAACTCTTGCATTTTTAAATGTGTTAAGTATGAACACTCCCCTTGTGTAAATATGCTGATAATGAATTGTGTGTAGAATAATATTTAAAAAGTGGGGACTTCTCACCTCCCATCCTATGAAGTTTTGTGTTGTGTATGTGATTTATGTAATAAGAATACTAAAGAGGAGGTTGAACTCTTTATAGCCGAATACAGCCTTAAATCTGCTTGTATAGCGTCCACTGACAAAAGTAATAATTTGTGCCTCAGACTTATGGGTTGCATGTGGCCCTCGGGGAGTTGCTACCCTTGGTATGCATGAGTGATTCCTATTAGCGTCATTGGAGCGCAGAACCCCTTATGTATTCACAAAAGGGGACTTGAGATCCACAGTTATTTATAATTTCTGTTATTAATGATCATACCTATACTGCTGAATTTAACTATATTTAAGTAAGTGAAAATGGTGCTTAATATAGACTTTAGAATGACTTTCAGGTATTTTTGACTACTTAATAGAAATACAAGTGAGGCTTGTGATAATTTGCCTTCAGAACTTAATCTCAGCAATATCCAAATGAGTGAAAAACATTTGAGTGACTCTTGGGCAACCTCTATTACTCATTATACTCTGGAGCTCTTGGTGAATGTTTACAATCATGGGATGTAGTATTTCTATTTGTATTTAAAGTCAAATGCTTATCTAAAATAATTATGTGACAATAGAGGAGATTTGCTCTGTTAGTAAATATGCAGTGTGTACTCTAAGGATCTGTGGTAGTATAACATGATTGTATGTTATTAATTTAAGTATAATAACTGCCACATTTGGAGAGACAGAGTAAGGAGAATTATTTCCAACCTGTAATTAAGAGTGTAAACTATAGAATCTACTGTAGTACATTTCAGCATCTAGAAGTTTTACTTTTATAAAGATGGTGTTTGAAAGATGTTGCTAATGTATTTTCCTTCAACATGGGGAGCAAACTTTTTAAGTATATTAATAAATATTCCTGTATGGTTAGTTTTTAACAATTTTTTAAAAATAAACTTTATGGATATAACATATTTTATAAGTGACTTATTAAATGCTTAGATGGGCTTTTTAAGTTTTTGTATTTGCTAAAGCTAATACATAGAACATTTTTGTTCAAATTTAGTTGAAATTCAATATATACTACTGATTACTCATTTAAATACTAGAGGCCATATGCACAAAATCGTGCACTGGGTGGGGGAAGGGGGTCCCCTCAGCCCAGTCTGCACCCTCTCACAGTCTGGTAGCCTGTGGAGGATGTCCAGCTGACAGCTTAGTGGGCCTAAGCCAGCAGTCAGACATCCTTAGTGCTGCCACAGAGGTGGCTGCGCTAGCCAGCTGTGAGGCTGGCTTTTGGCTGAGCTGCACTTTTCCTGTGGGAACGCATTGACCATCAGGGGGCTGCTCCTGTGTTTAGCGCCTGCCCACTGGTGGTCAGTGTGCATCATAGCGACTGGTTGGTCTTCTGTTTAGTTGATTTGCATATTAAGCTTTTATTATATAGGATATCTGATGTAAAAGTTTTATTATAACCAACACTTGAAACAGACTATTTATACTTTTAATTATTTTCAAACACAGAATGTAACCTCAAAGTTTATCTGATGCCAATTGCTAGAAGTTGTCATTTGTTTTTGTTTTTATCAGTCTATACTCAAAATATTTTTAGGATTATATGGTTTTGCTTATATATGCTAAATATTCACAAAGAAGTTATTGAACAACTAATCTTTCTGTAAGGATGCTATTGTGATGTTTACTTCTGCTATCATAGTAAAGGAACTGTTCATCTTTTAGATATATTTCTGACATCTTGCACATATTAGGGTCTTAAAGGTTTACATAAAAATGAAGAAAACATTTTTAGAGCTTTTGCAGTAATTACTGGGGACTGGTTTTATGTATCTCAATCCTATGAGATAAATAGTAGCAACCTATTTAACCAGATAAAGAAGCCAAGGTGTAAGTCACACAATGAGTAAGTGGTAATTGAAACCAAACATTTACTACCAATACCAGGCTACTTGTATTGTCAAATGCTATGAAAATATGTAGAAGGGGAGTACCTTCCTGCCTGAGGGAATTCACAAAGATTTCTCAGTGACATTAAAGTCTTAAAGGATAAGGAAGAATTAACATCCTTTAAAAGGCATAAAGTATGACAGACTAGTATAGTAATATGATCATATAACTGGATGGAGTTTGAATAGTTTGTGGCTTGAATGTGTGGAAGAAAAAAAGGCCACATATTAAACTTAAGCTCAGGAACCAAAAGAAACCACATGGTGGTATGAACGTGAAAATTTCTAACTAGGAGCTGGAAGTTGGTCATGGTTAGTCATGTCCTAAGCCTGTAGCCTTCTTGATAAAGGTCAATCTTAGGTTATAAATTGTCTATTGTCTTTGTGAATCTGAAATAACACCTTAAAAATATCAGTAACACCCTCCAACCCCCCCACCCCCCAGGCTCCTTGAAGGCACAATTGGCACTAGAGCATAAGACCACATTGTTATCTTGTTGCTCACATACCATCTCTATGTACTATAACTGTTAAATATCCAATGTTCTCACCAATGTAAAAGAAGCGTATATGTTTTTCTTTCTTTACTTTTAATCCAAATGCAGATTTTCGGTTTTGCTTTCTCTCACATTCCTAATCTACCACCAGTGAATTTTATGGAAGCTTTCTTATGTCTCCTTGGATTTTAATATAAAATATATGCTGCAAAGCTACCATTCTCCAGAGCATTTTCTCAATTTGTTGAAATTTTGCTTCCCAGCAATTGTCATCAGTTTTGCTCAAATAAACTCTTATAAGACTTTTTCCTAGGCTGGATATTCTTTCATGAATCTTTGCATAGCCAGCAGGGTTCCAAAGCTCACCTAAGACCACCCCACGAACTTGAACCCGGTGCTAGATATCAGCAGGGGCCTATTGAGCCCCACTGGCTCCTCACTTTGCATTGAGTGAACTTGGGTGAGTTATTTATTTTTACTGCTTCAGTCAGTGAAAGGGAAACTACTGAGGGCCCAGGGCCATAGGATTCAGGCAGGAGGCCACTCTCTGGTAGAAGAGGTGGTAGAAGGGCCTTGTTTTACCTTCTTGGGTTACTGTTTGTTGGTGTGGCCACACCTTGCAGCAGTTGACAGCATGGATATAGGAGGGCATAACACTTGTGGCAGATCATCCTGTCACAATTGAGTTGGCAAAGAGATGATGTCCCTGCAGACAAAGTGCCAAGTGTAGGGTGAACACTTTCTGGAATATTGTAGGGAAGGCAGCCATCTTCCAAATGTTTACCAGCAAAACTCAGATGCTAATGGTCAGGCAGGAAGTCCTTGTCTTAGATTTTCACTCTGACCTGAATGGTGTCACTGGGCTCAACCTCAAGGGTAATGGTCTTGCCCATCAGTGTCTTTTATAGACACTGCATCTGCCAGGGAGGCTGCAAGCCTGGGTTGTTGAAAAAGAGGATGAGTTATTAAAGAATTCAGGACCTCCCCTTTGCTTGTGGTAGAGGGTCTGACTTTATTTGAACTGTTCTTAGAAAATGCAAAGTGGCACTATAGGATAGAAGTTGAAATAGGCAGTTGGTTTTAATTTTGGCTTTCAACCTGATCTACCTACTATGAGTCTGAGCAAAAACGTTTTGCTCTATAAATGAGTCTGAATTTAATCAACTACAAATATAAGGGGCATTTATCCCCTCCAGCTTGGATTTTGTGTATTCTCAGGTAGCTAAGAATCTTTGTGGAGGAATTTGAAAGTATCCCTTAAAACGAGCAGTGGCCCCATAGAGAATCCCAACAACTATAATTAAACAATTGTCCGTTCTGGGGCATGCACTTAAAGACACAGTGGAATTGGCTGGGGAGAGAAACCAAGACATTAAGAAGGTTGAAGTGACTAGAGGTGACAGCAGTATACTTTATCACACAATATCCCTAGAAGTTTGTTCAGACTGTAGATCTTCATAGAAAACTGAAATTAACATGGGAAGTTGTATCTCTATGATTAATGAATTCCAAGAACCCCAGCTCTCCTGCAGCCAATAGTGTATAATTTGTATGAAACGTCTATATTCTTTGCTTTCTGAGTTTCCTTGTTCAGATTTGCCCTTCCCTTTCTCCACCTTCATTTTTCTTCAACACCACTCCATGCTTACCTAGGGGAAACAATTAAAAGCCAGACCAAGATACACTAGAAAACTCAGAAATTCTGGCAGCTTCCTTTAATGAAAAGCCAGTTTTCAGCAAAGGGAAAGCAGTAATTGTATACATTCCTTGGACTAGAACAGAATTAAGGAATCTAAGGTTTTCTATTACAGTGTTCATGACCCTGATGGCTTTGCCACCTCATATTACTGTTAGAACATATAATCCTGACAATTCTGACCCATCCATATTAATACACTAGTTTCTGAGAACATGGCAACAGAATAGCTAAATAAGGTTCACTGGGAAACTTCTGTAGAAGACAGCCCAGGAAAAATGCAGGAAATTAGCCTACTGGTTTTACCAAGCCATACCTGAGATTTTTACCAAGAAAAGTGGACTGGACCAAGATCCAGTAATGTAAAAGAAACCCAATGAACCAATGCTTGGTGGAGAACAACTTTTAAATAATACTCAAATCTGTCTTTAGACCGTTTTAAAGATTATCAAAATGACCCATTACTAAACTTGGCATTTTTTTGAAAAGAACTAAGTGTAAAGCTTGTAACTGATTAAACAACATAAATTAAGTTGGCCAACCGACTTACTAAGCATACAAATTATGTAGATCTGAGAATGTTCCTTGCTCCTTTTTAAATAAATGAAGGACTTATTAAGTTAAAAAGATTGATAAGTTAGTAACTGATTTATTTTTATAGTGCATCCCCCAGAAATAAAGATTTCAAAGACTTTGGCTTACAACCAGAAGGTTTTTGTCTATTGGAAGATATCAATTAAAAGATTATCTTTAACCTCATTGAAAGAAAGCTTATTAGGTATTACCAACTTATCAAACAAAGTGCAGGCAAATTTTGTAGAATTCAAAATGGATTCAGATTTCTCATTTTAAAAAGGTGCCTAACCAGAAATGGACATCTATCCCTGCCTCTGACATGTGCCTTTGCCTGCAGCAGACTAGGAAGACTTAAAGGATGAAAAGCCACAGGCATCAAAGGCAGACCTCTATCACAAACCATTAACAAGGACTATATGCCCATAAATTGATGTTGAACTAAGGAAAATTTGTTTAGTCTTTTTTTTTTTTTTGTCTGTTAATAACAGTAATAAATTTGTTCTTTGATTTTTCTCAAAATGTACTTATAGCATCTAATTGTTAATGATTGATAAAAATATATAAAATAATTTTTATATTATAATTCTTATAGTTTTTTTTTAATGGAAACAATATCTGTCTCCCCGGACCCTCTCCCTTATTGGTATAAAAAATTTAATGTGTTCCTTCTAATCTTTCCCATCTATTAGACAATGGATATTTTGATAATCAGTTATTATAATGAAACTAATGCCTTGTTAGCCACACATTGGTTTTCTTATATTACTAGTTTAATTACATTTTTCTCCACATATACTTATTATAAAGAACCCATCTTGGGCAAATACTTTCAAGAACACCTCTCTGGTAATTCTCCTGGTAAAGTTACATATAAATCTAATTTAGATGAACATTGTATTGATATATAAATGGATGATAAAAATTTTAAGAAAAATACCTGGATATGATGGGAAAAGGCAGCCTGCTTCATCTGTCATGGTACGTCTTGTCCTCAGACTCCTCAGCCATTTTCATGTGGTTGTAAGTCTCTAAAAGTGGGGGAAAATGGGTACCCATCTCAGAAATTACTATGATTACTTGGTGAGTAAATAGGTCTGCAGCTACCTCAGCCTCCTTGTTTCAGACATTTGTGTAATACTATGAAATACTCAAACTCTAGCTCATTGTGTGGTTACCTCTCTACCTTTATTCCATGAGAAACTCAAAATTTTGTGGTCCATTTGGTTTACCCCAATCACTTTCTGACCATAGCTATTCAATAGCAAGAAAATTTCTGGTGGCTTCGATATTGGCCCTCATTAATAAGAGAGGAATACTTGAAGAATTAGGGTCTGGCCTTGGTATTTTGAAATAAGTTGAATTTGAAGTTAATAAATCATTTGTTAGAAAGGAAATGTTATTTTAAAAACAAGGGAAATAATTCCAAGTCAAAGAATGGGGGTAGGGGAGGTGAAACATTAGTTTGGAGGGTTGTAGTAAAAATTTTAAGAAATTTAGAAAAATCCAGGATCCAGTTCAGTTTAGTTCATACGTGAAAAATAAAAACCTTGGTGAACTAGAGTCTAATATCCACAAAAAGTAATCAATTAGTATTGTTTAGATTGGCAAATACATTTTATAACTTCTAAAAGCAGGAACTTATACCGGCAAACACACTCTTTTATGGACATACTTCTAATAAAATGTAAGACATTCATTAACAACTCCAAATTTATTTTTCTAGCTTCTCTGTATTCAAAGGTGAACCAAATTAGGTGATATTTTCTTATCCATTTAGTTATTTTGTCTTTTGATTGGATAATTTAATCTAAATACATTTAAGGTTATTAATGATAGGCACTTGTTTGTTACCATTTTTGTTCTTTATGCCTGTGTTCCTCTTTTTCCATTTCCTCTTCTTATAATAGTCCCTTTAGCCTTTCTTGCATTGCTGGTTTGGTGGTAATAAGCTCCTTTAACATTTTTTGTTTGTTTTGTTTTTGTTTGTGAAGCTCCTAATTTCACCTTCATTTTGAATGATAGTCTTGCTGGATAGAACAGTTTTGGATTCAGTCCCTTACTTTTCATTACTTTGTATACTTCGTGCCACTCACTTCTGCCCTAAAATGTTTCTATTGAGTCTAATGGGAGTTCCCTTGTAGGTAACTTTCTGTCTGTCTGTCTGTCTGTCTGTCTGTCTGTCTCTCTCTCTCTCTCTCTCTCTCTCTCTCTCTCTCTCTCTCTCTCTCTCTCTCGCAGTTAAGATTCTTTCTTTGTCCTTAACATCTGACATTTTAATTATGATGGGTCTTGGTGTGGGTCTTCTTGGGTTCATCTTGATTGGGACTCCCTATGCTTCCCGGACACGTGTGACTTTTATCTTCATCAGGTCAGGAAAGTTTTCTGTCATTATTTCTTCAGACTCTCTATTCCTTGTTCACCTTCTCCTGGCACCCCTATTATCTTGATGTTTCGTTTCATGTTGTCCCAAAGCTCCCATAAGCTCTCCTGCTTGTTAGCTTTTTTTTTTTAAATCCAATTGCTGCTCTGCTTGGGTGTTTTTATCTACCTTGTCTTCTAACTCAAAGATTCTGTCCTAAGCTCCCTGTCTTCTGTTGAATCCCTCCAAGTTGTTCTTTATTATAGCTATGTCACACTTCCTTTCCTCTTGATTCTTTTTTTTTAATTGATTGCAAAGAAGGAATGGAAGAGTGATAGAGACATTAATAATTAGAGAGAATTATTGATTTGCTGCCTCCTGTACAAGCCCCCGCTGGGGATGGAGCATGCAACCCAG